GGCCAGTGGTTAGTGCTTTTGGGCCCTTTTCTTTGTTGTGTGTCGCTTCCGAAAACTCTGCTCTCGGAATTCCGTGAGGTTCCGTGGGTGTCACTAAGAACAGAATTTGTCTCGGTGGCTCTACTTTAGGCAGCACAGATAGAAAGCTTTTATTAACCAAATGTCTAAATAGGGAGCTTGCTATATTCCCTTTCAAAATTGTCATTGGAACCTCCTCCTCCTCCTCCTCCTCCCACTTTAAACCACTGGTGTGGTTTACAGACTTTTAAAATCATTACACAGAAGTAAGGCACAGTTAAAAGAACAAGTGGGTTACCTTTAAGAATTGGGAGTGTGGCTCTTGTGGAATCTGTAAGCACACTTTTGTTTTAACTCTGCCTGTTTATCATAGAATCATAGAATATCAGGGTTGGAAGGGACCTTGGGAGGTCATCTAGTCCAACCCCCTGCTCAAAGCAGGACCAATCCCCAGACCGATTTTTGCCCCAGATCCCTAAATGGCCCCCTCAAGGATTGAGCGCACAACCCTGGGTTTAGCAGGCCAATGCTCAAACCACTGAGCTATCCCTCCCCCCACGGCTGCCTGTGCAGATGTATGAGATCTTTTCTCCTTTCCTTTCTGTTTGTAGTCAAATCCTGCTTTCCCACCTGGACCATACCAGCCGCAAACTTATGTAAGTCTTTATAACATTATTTTGTGGTTGACGTTACTGGGGAGGTGGGTACTTTTTAAATCTGAAGTGCTGAAAGATGAAGTGAAAAAGAATTCCGGCCGAGAATGTGATTTCAGAGAGCCAAAAGACTGTCAGGAGGAGTGAATTCTCTGAATTGTCACATTGGGAAAAAATAACGCCCACCGGGTTATCCAACAGTGGAAAGGTTAGTGTACAGAACAGCTTTCTTATGGGAAAGGTTCCATAGCCATTGATGGACCTAGGCTCTATGAACTTATCTAGTTCTTTTTGAACCCTGTTATAGTCTTGGCCTTCACAACATCTTCTGGCAAGAAATTCCACAGACCAACTGTGCGTTGTGTGAAATACTTCATTTTGTTTGTTTTAAACCTGCTGCCTATTCAAGTAAGGTGACCCTTACTTCTTATGTTATGAGAAGGAGTAAATAACCATTCCTTATTTACTTTCTCCACACCAGTCATGATTTAATAGACCCGTATCATATTCCCCCTTAGTCGTCTCTTTTCCAAGCTGAAAATCCCAATCTTATTAATCTCTCCTCATACGGCAGCCGTTCCATACCCCTAATCATTTTTGTTGCCCTTTTCTGAACCTTTTCCAATTTCAATATATCTTTTTTGAGATAGGGTGACCACATCTGCACGCAGTATTCAAGATGTGGGTGTACCATGGATTTATATAGAGACAATATGACATTTTCTGTCTTATTATCGATCCCTTTCTTAATGATTCCCAACATTCTGTTTGCTTTTTTGACTGCCGCTGCACATTGAGTGCATTTTCAGAGAACTATCCACAATGACTCCAAGATCTCTTTCTTGAATGGTAACAGCTAATTTAGACCCCATCATTTTATACGTACAGTTGGGATTATGTTTTCCAATGTGCATTACTTTGCATTTATCAACATTGAATTTCATCTGCCATTTTGTTGCCCAGTCACCCGGTTTTGAGAGATCCTTTTGTAGCTCTTCTCAGTCTGCCTGGGATTTAACTATCTTGAGTAGTTTTTTTTATCATCTGCAAATTTTGTCACCTCGCTGTTTCCTCCTTTTTTCAGATCATTGATGAATATGTTGACTAGGACTGGTCCCAACCTGCTTCCCAGCCCTGTTGGACAAATACACGCTAGCTCTGCTGGAGCCAGTGTGCTAATAAGAGCAGCGTAGCTACTGCAGCACAAGCAGTACGTACCCAGGAAGTCAGGCAGGCTTGAACTCAGCTCGCCTGAGCAACCTCACATGCTGCCGCGGCCACACTGCTATTTTTAGCTCACTAGCTCCAACAGAACGAGTGTTTGTCTACCTGTGCTGGGAAGCTCTCCCAGCTGCAGTACAGACATACCCTTAGTGTCAGAAGCTTGATACAGTCAGTATTGCTTACCCCACAGTGCAGGTCAATGCCTAATGTATTGCAAGATTACTTGTGCTCCCTACTGGCAGTAGAATCAACCTCTAAATGGACCTGAAACATCCTGACACTTTTGTTGAAGGATCTGTCTGACTTCCTTTGTAATTTGTTTTTAACTGATGTGCATTAATTAGACTGCCACTGGTGAGTGAAAATAAAAAGGAAGCAAATATGTTCTGATTGATATTTTTAAGCCTCTTTTCCTGTATCTTTCACCAGCCTGTGCCATACCACACTTCGATTGTTGGAGGATTTTATCCATCAAGATCTCTCATAATAACAGGGACCATTCCTCATGGTGCTGATCAGTAAGTAGCAGAGACAGCCCCGTGTCTCCATTGCAGCCAGATGTAGACTTCTCTGAAGTTCAGGGAAGATGTACTTGTCAGTAAGGGTTTTCCCTCCAGCGTACAGTCATTGTTATATTTTAAATAGCTGCCTTAGGGCCAAGTTCTGCAATCCCTCTGCACACAAACACAGATTCCTGGCATCCGTAAGGTTTTTCCTTTCTAACTGGCTGGTGTTTCTCCCTACATCTTTCCCCCTCAGCGGCTGCACAACATGCCTGTATGCCTATAACCACCACTACAAGTAGGCCAGGATCGTTGGTGTTTAATTAACAGTTTTGGGGTTCAACTCCCATTGACTTCAATGAGAGCGTTTGCATTGACTTCATTGAGAGTCAGTTGAGGTCACTATTCCTTCCACTGACTTCAGTTTCAGCCACTTTGTACGTCTGAGGGTAAGATTTGGCTCTTGGTTTGCAAATTTTAGCCCCGATGGCAAATTTTGCCTGGGCTGCCAACTGCACCCTAGATTTCAGTGATGCTTAATGTCAGTGGTGGGGTCTGTCTGTGTGGAATAACTTGCTGCGTCCAGGTGTCTGTCAAGACACCTGGCTAGAGATGCTGAGAGCTCTTGGAATCTCCTGGCAGCTAATTCATTCAGCACACACAGCTGTGACATTTTCACCCTGCAGGTGGGAGGAAAGCAGTTCTTCCAAACAAGACAGAGCCTGCTTTTTTAGATCTCATTAGAAGTTGTTGTAGCACTGTGTTAATTAATCCTAGGAATGTGACATTTCAGTCAAGGCATTTTATACTAAAAATGACAGTGGTATATTACCAGGAGAGGACTGTGCAACTTGTAGATGCTAGTGTACATTGTATAAAAATGTATTTTCTCTAAAGCTTTCAAACCTTTTGATAAAGCCAAGCTCGTTGTTGAGTTTAAACATAAAGAATACACTAATGATGAGTAAAATTGTTGATCAGAATTTTTAAGGGGGTCTCAGCCAAGTATTTTACTTTGCACGGGCAATTAATTATGAGAATAATGAATTGCAAGCACAGATGGCAACATTTAACTGCCTGACTTGTAGTCACATTCCGGTAACTGATTACCTGATTCTCAGAGGAGTGGACCGCTTACAACTTCCATGTAAAGTGAAGGGGAACTGCAGTTGCTCAGCATCTTTGAAACTAAGACAGTAGGTGACTCAATGCTCTATAACTGGTGCCAACTATTAACTACTTGAAGCAGCCACAAACTGCAGCTGCAAAATAAAAAGATGCATATTTTATTTAAGTGGCTTAAATGCATGTACTGTATTATTGCGCTTGATACTCACTTTGCACTTCACACCTTCTAGTTAATCATATTGTGTTCCCCAGTTAAAACTGTAGTGAATGTTGGTTTGTTTGTTTGTTTAAAACTGAGGGGGTTTCATGCATGTGATTTGTCTTTGGTGTGTTTAGATTCCATGTCAATCTGAAATGGGGCGAACACATTGCCTTCCATCTAAACCCAAGATTCTCTGAGAAGACCATTGTTCGCAACAGTCAGCTGAACCACTGCTGGGGGCCAGAGGAACGTGGCTTGCCAAGTGGCATGCCTCTCAGCTGTGGGCAGAGCTTCACAGTGAGCAAAACCATTTTAAACTAGTCACTCATTATGCTAATTGACAAGGACATTTTGCTTTTGGCTTTTGAGGCCTTTACATTCACTTAGGCACATTTAGGAAGAGAAATAGCACCTTAAATTGTTAAGTGGTTAGTGACTCTTGGTTGTCCAATTTGAGACCCTTTAAAGGGGCCTGATTTTTCAGAGGGCAAGTGCTTAGCACTCTCTGAAAATTAGGTCTTTTCAACGTGTCTCAAGCTGACGGCCCAAAAAGCAAGGTACTAAAATCCCTAGTCACTCTTGAAAGTTTAGGTCAGTATTCATAGTAAGGATAACAGTACAAGGACTATCAGTGCTTGTGCTTCAGGGAATAAGCCAGTGACCAGCTAGCACTGAATAGAATTTCCCTCCATTTAGCTGCATGAAGGCTTTAGCATCCATATACATTCCTGCTGGAGGCAGGCTTCCCAGAGAGAGCGCTGGTCTGTACTAGAATCGTAAATCCCACCGTAGTAACACTTAGTGTTTGACATTTCAGAGCTGTGGAGCCCAGTCAGCTCTGTGGGGTAGGTCAGAAAATATTGATAAGCCCACGTAATAGATGGGAAATCTTAAACATAGAGATTAAATGACTTACCCGCAGCCACACAGCAAACCGGTGAGAGCTGGCATCAGAACTCCAGAGTCCCTGACTCCAGTCCAACGCTCAGTCTACCAGATCACACTGCCCCGTAGTGCTAGACTGATGACTGCTATGATTTACAAGTGCAACTTTGCAAATGTATTTTTAAAAAAGAGGGAGAAATTCATATATTTGATGCTTTCTATATATTTTTCTCCATAGCTATTGCTTTTTCACACTCATTTCTAAATGCCTGTTTGTGGGTTTTTTTTCCTCCCTTGGTTTGCAGATCTGGATTTTATGCGACGCTCACTGCTTTAAGGTGGCTGTGAATGGACAACACCAGTTTGAATACAACCATCGAGTTCCTAACCTGCAGCAGATAGACAGGCTTGAAGTAGAGGGTGATGTTATCCTGACCTGTGTTCAGGTTTAAAGATGAAATCCTACATACAATTTATATAACCAAGTCAGTTGCTGTGTATGCCTCCTAAAATTAGCAGTTTACTAGGGAATTTGCTACTGAAACTTAATCAAGAATCTAATTCTTTTTTTTATAACCACTTCAACCTAACTAGTAATCCTGCTATTTCTACAATACCAACCCACGCTTTTTGCATAAGCTTTTCATTGGCTAGAACGTTACTTCTGTTCAGATCATATTGTTCATTTTATAAGCCTTTTTACTATGATGATACCTTAATTTTGTAAGTGAATGATCAGGGATCTGTGCATTAAAGTTAACATTAAAACATTTGGAGAAAATGCGGTGCTGTCTTCAGAACTCAGGGGTTTTTTTTCAAACTTAAGGTTGAGTATTGTCATCTTGATGGATAAGGATTCTGTCTACATTGCAAGTTACTGGGGGGAACTGAATCTACAGCGCACGAGCTTGCTGCACATTAAAGTCCCGCAACTTTCCCTGCGTCGTAGCAGAATTCACCTGGGACGTTACTGAGCGGCAAGGTGGTACGCTGTAGACTCTCACCTGGCTTGCCCTGCAGTAACTTGCCAAGTAGACAAGCCCCTAGGAGAGGGAAGCCAGGTAAGTGGGAAAAAGCCCAGGGGAACAGCAGCAAGGGGTAGGACTGTGCAGACCTTTGTTGCTTGTTAGAGGATCCCTGGTCTGGAACCCAGTGTAGAGGGTGGGCCTGTGTTCCCCTGCCAGGCACTGGGAAATGACATGGGGTGTTGCAGATACCAGCTGGACAGACACCGAGCTTTGTATGCAGCAGACGCTGAGGCAGCCCAGGCTGGGGGTGGGATGAGGCAGCAAAGGATATCGAGCACTTTATCTGTTCCATTTATTCCTGTACTGAAAGCAATTATGTAAGGCTTCAGATCAGTCACCACCACTGGGACTTCATTTACAGTCTGGACCAGTTGATATAAGGAGTAAATTCATAATGAATTAGAACAGATCACTGCTGTTTGTAATCCGTTCCTATAATCGCTCTGTTTCCTCTTCCTGTTAATGGGAAGTTCCTGGAATGGTGGAATTAAGTAGTGTATGTAAGTGGAGTCTGTAATATGGTGAAAATTGACATATTTTCTTTTCAAATGTGATGTAAACTTTGTACAGTACATTTTTAAAAATATTTTCTATCAACTGAGTTTGTCTTCCAGAATTGCTATTAATTTAATTAAAATTGTTAGTATTCACAAAGGGTTCTGTATTAGCTTATGCAACTGGCAAAAAAAAATTGCCCTCTACGCTAATGAAATTCTGGATATTTAGGATTCTTTTCTGTGAATAAATCTCTGCTCTGGATAAAACACAAGTCATGGAATTGTGTGGGGTTTTATTTGTTTTGGGGTTTTCCAAACTGACTGAATATTTTACACTTCATGTAGCACGTTTGGTGCTGAAAGATCTCAGAGTATTTTACAAATACATTATTTTATTACAGGAGTGCCTAGAGGACCCAGGAATTCCTTATGCCAGATGCTGTACAAACCCATAGTAAGAGACCGTGCTCCTCCTAGAATGCTCAAATTTTAAATAGACAAAATAGAGAAGAGGCACAATGGGGTGAAGTGATTTGCCCAAGGTCACATACCAAGTCCATGGTCAAGTTAGAAATAAAATCCAGGTTGCCTGTCTCCCAATTCTCTTGTATACATACTAACCATTACATGCAGCACTTCCGGTGTTGTAAACATAAAAAAATTACAGGAAGGGTGGCTGGCAGAAAAGAGAAAACACAAGGATGACAGTAATTTCACATGGCTGCTCAGCAGCTACAAACCAGCTTGATACGTTTATTTGCTTTGTTTTATTTCATATCCTCCTCCCTCCATCTCGCTTTTCATGAGTCAGAAAGCAAAAGTGTTTAAAAAAAAAATAGGGATTGAATGTGAAAGGGGGGGTAGCCTGGAAGACAGATTTGCGGAGCAGTAATGACTTGGAGGGCCAAATCTGCAGTGAGGTGTCAGAGTAGCTCTACTGAAATCACTGGAGCTATGCCAAGCTTCTAACCCTGAACAGTTAAGTGATGCCCTCAGGAGTGGGCCTCTTTCTTGGCAATTGAAAGCATAGTGGGCAAATTCTTTGTATGCTGGTGTTTCTTATCACCTACCTCCGGGAGAAATGGCCTGTGGTCTGGGATACTCCTGTCATGAAAAGAGGGAGGCAAACAACTAACTTTGAAGTGGAAAAGGGTGAGGCTAAAAAAGAGTCAAATCAGGAATTTGAAATGCTGGTCTCAGAAGAGAGATGCTAAAATTGCCTGAGGTTACATTCAGCCACAACGTTCCCAGCCTCGCTGTTGCGCAATTGGACCAAACAGGCTGTATCTGAACAATGGTATGTTCGAGATCCAAATCTAGCTCTCAACGCTGCAGCTTGAGCCCACTTCTTACTAAAATTTTCTGTTGGTAACTTTTAGTCATACAACCATTCTAACACCGAATGCCTCCAAAATACTCAAGACTAACTGCTGTTCTCTTCAATTGCACTGGTGTAAATCCACTGAAAGTGATGTAATTAACACCACATTTTACACAAGTGTAACTAAAAGCTTGACCCCAAGTTACCACGCTGTTAAAAATGGACTGTTCCAGTATTCAATGAACACTATATCATCCTGGAAACTCCTTATCAGGTGTTTGGAAATACTGCTTTCTTAGGACTTGGGACTTGGACTTACTTACCCCCTTTAGTGCAGTGATATGACCGTCATTGGTCCTGGACCCTGAGTCTGCCTCTGCTGAAACCCTTACAGTTGATGTGACCTCTGCTCAGTTGTTTGCACCTGGAGATGGATACCCTAGAAATGAACAGAGAGAGTCTCGATTTAGGAAGTAAGAGATGCGTTGTCCTCATTCTGTTTCCTTCACTAGCTAGCCCCCAAGTCCCTTCTGATTTTCAAACCTTCCTAGGTGTTTGGTTTCAGCCCACCTCTCTGATTAATGTCAGTGGGACTAGAGCTGGTTGGATATTTTTTGACAAAATGTTTTGGGGGTTTTTTGATTGAAAATGCCAGTTCATCAGAACTGAAATTTTTGGAGAAATGCATCAGTTTCAGTGACTTGTCACGGCAGAAGGTTGGTGTGTGGGATGGGGTTCGGGGTGCCGGATCCGGGGGCGCTCATCTCGGGCGGCTGCCTGCAAGCGGCAACCTGTCCCGGCTGCTCCTAGGCGGAGGCGCAGCAGGCGTCTCTGTGCATTTCCCCCGCCCTGAGCGCTAGCTCCGCAGCTCCCATCGGCTGGGAACCGCACATATATATAATAACCTCAAAGTGCTTCTTCAGCCTGCAGTTCCAAACCTGTCTTATTTAATATTGTGTTTAGTTTATACACTGCACAGAAACAAGATGATGTGAATTTTTTCTTCAAATACAGCAATTTCAGCACATTACTGTGTGTACATGCATTAGTACCTACATTTTAGAACAATAACTAGGATGTGCTTTTATATCACGTCAAGATATCTGGTAACGCTCAGCCTGGGAGCTTTTAACAGGAGAGATTATGAAGTTCTTTTTGAATGTCAACATTGTGCTCTGTGTGAGCAGACGAATCTTCAACAGAAACACAACACCAGCACAAGTGATGCTAAGAATGTGCAAATATGTCGACACTAGATCTAGTGCGGGGAGCAATGTTCACACTGAGGTTTAAAAAAACCTTACACGATTAGTGCTCCAGCTTCTAAGGGCTTGTCTACACTTACAACGCTGCCACAGTGCTGTAGCGCTTATTGAAGATGCTACATATGCCGACTGTCTATACTGGGGGTTAGGTTGTTCAATGTCACTTGGGGTGTGCCAAGATAGCTCTGTTCACAAAAAATCACTACCCTTACTGACAGATATAAATTTTAAGTGTAGACCAGGCCTAAGGCCCAGTTAAGTGACACAGGACTCTCCCATCTACTATTTTCACACTGCTTCTGGCCCTACCCACAAGGGCAACAAGGGTCCATGTTGCTATTTTAAGTGTTCTAGCTGGAGCCCCACCAGTGCAAGTCTCTCTACCCAGGCTGAAGGCTCGCGCCCAGCTGCAGTGTAGACATACCCTACAGGCCAAACCTCGGTGGGTATGTCTTTACTGCATAGTAAACCTTGGCTCAGACTAGGGTGACCAGATAGCAACTGTGAAAAAACGGGACGGGGGTGGGTGGGTAACAGGCGCCTATATAAGAAAAAGTCCCAAAAAACTGGACTGTCCCTATAAAAACGGGACATCCGGTCACTCTAGCTCAGACTCAGGTTTAAGCCCTAACTCACCTACTGTCCACAAAAAAAATCTTCTGACTTGCACCAGAAACCTCTCAGGCCTGCAGACTTGCCCACAGATACGGGCCTGGGTCTGAGGCCACTCATTTTGCCATGTGGACACAGCTGAAGCTCAGGTTGCC